CTGCCCATTTGGCCTCTCCAGCCGCTCACCTGAGTGCTGAGGACACCCTCGACCTGCTTGGAGTCTCGGAGGAAGACCTGGAAGGCGAAAGCTTGGGAGAGGAGGTGGTGCCGGTTCTCCCACATCCTCCCCAGCTCTTCCCAACCCGTGTCCAGAGCTTCCAGGCGCTGATGGAGAAAGACGTGCTGGGCGTCCGTCTGTCCTTGCGTCACCTCCCGCCCCACGGCTCTGGTGCTGCGGTAGTCGTCGCCGTAGTGAGCGATCTCCTTACGGATGCTTTCGTGTTGACTCAACAACCTTTCGGCTTCGGCCAAGGTGGCCGGTACGTCCTCGGAGGCCACGGCCGTTTGGGTGCGGGATAGCCACGCCTGGAAGGCGGCCAGGTCCCTCAAGAAGCCCTGCAGCTTGCTGGCCTCCCCCAACGACTCCTCCCTTCGCCGCAAGCTACGGCGCAACTCCTCCCACACCGTCTCGATGGCCGACAACCGGCCGAAGATAGCCGGTTCTTGTTCCGGGTGTTCGGCCGCCAACTTCTCCGCTTCGGCTCGTAAATCCCGTACTTTGCCCTGGATGGCTTCCAGGTCGCGCTCCATGCCCGAGAGCTTGCGCTGCAAGGCCATGACGCCGGCCAAGTCGTTGCCCAAACCCTGCGTCGACTCGATGACCTTCGTCTTCTCCCGCATCCAGGACGTGGTCTCGTTGCATTCCAGGTGGTAGTTCTGGATGTTCAGGGCCGACGTCAACGCCTCCTTCTTCTGGTCGGCCAGAGCCCGGAACCGATCCCACCTGCGCCACCAGCGGGGTCAGGGGGACGCGTCGGCCGGCAGCGGGCATGGAGATGTCCGTCCTGCCCATGGCTGCCCGGCCATCCTGCCTGGAGCATCGTCCTGCCTGGAGAACCCTTCCCTGCCTGGAGAACCTGTCCCTTCATGGAGAACCCTTCCCTGCCTGGAGAACCTGTCCCTTCATGGAGAACCCGTCCCTGCCTGGAGAACTTGTCCCTTCATGGAGAACCTGTCCCTGCCTGGAGAACTTGTCCCTTCATGGAGAACCCGTCCCTGCCTGGAGAACTTGTCCCTTTGTGGAGAACCTGTCCCTGCCTGGAGAACCCACTCCTTGAGAACCCATCCCTGCCTGGAGCATCCATCCCTTCCTGGAGAACCCATCCATTCATGGAGAACCCATCCCTGCCTGGAGCATCCATCCCTTCCTGGAGAACCCATCCATTCATGGAGAACCCATCCCTGCCTGGAGCATCCATCCCTTCCTGGAGAACCCATCCATTCATGGAGAACCCATCCCTGCCTGGAGCATCCATCCCTTCCTGGAGAACCCATCCATTCATGGAGAACCCATCCCTGCCTGGAGCATCCATCCCTTCCTGGAGAACCCATCCATTCATGGAGAACCCATCCCTGCCTGGAGCATCCATCCCTTCCTGGAGAACCCATCCATTCATGGAGAACCCATCCCTGCCTGGAGCATCCATCCCTTCCTGGAGAACCCATCCATTCATGGAGAACCCATCCCTGCCTGGAGCATCCATCCCTTCCTGGAGAACCCATCCATTCATGGAGAACCCATCCCTGCCTGGAGCATCCATCCCTTCCTGGAGAACCCATCCATTCATGGAGAACCCATCCCTGCCTGGAGCATCCATCCCTTCCTGGAGAACCCATCCATTCATGGAGAACCCATCCCTGCCTGGAGCATCCATCCCTTCCTGGAGAACCCATCCATTCATGGAGAACCCATCCCTGCCTGGAGCATCCATCCCTTCCTGGAGAACCCATCCATTCATGGAGAACCCATCCCTGCCTGGAGCATCCATCCCTTCCTGGAGAACCCATCCATTCATGGAGAACCCATCCCTGCCTGGAGCATCCATCCCTTCCTGGAGAACCCATCCATTCATGGAGAACCCATCCCTGCCTGGAGCATCCATCCCTTCCTGGAGAACCCATCCATTCATGGAGAACCCATCCCTGCCTGGAGCATCCATCCCTTCCTGGAGAACCCATCCATTCATGGAGAACCCATCCCTGCCTGGAGCATCCATCCCTTCCTGGAGAACCCATCCATTCATGGAGAACCCATCCCTGCCTGGAGCATCCACCCCTTCCTGGAGAACCCATCCATTCATGGAGAACCCATCCCTGCCTGGAGCATCCACCCCTTCCTGGAGAACCCATCCATTCATGGAGAACCCATCCCTGCCTGGAGCATCCATCCCTTCCTGGAGAACCCATCCATTCATGGAGAACCCATCCCTGCTTGGGGAACCCATCCCTTCCTGGAGAACCCGTCCCTGGACGCTCCCGTCCTGCATCGCCCGCCGCCCACCTGGCGTTGAGCTGCTCGCGGGTGGCCCGGATGCTCTCCTGGTTGCGCTGGTCGGTGGCCAGCAGCTGGTCGGCGATGCGGTTGACGGCGGCCACGCGGGACGCCAGGTTGTTCATCTCCGGTTCCAACGTCTCGAAGCTGCGGGCGAGCAGAGAACGGCAACTCACCGCCCGCCGCGGAGGAGCCCCCCAACTGCCGCCCCGGTGAAGGGATCCGGGCGCCGGCGCTCACCGTTGCTGCACCACCTCCAGGTCCTCCAGCTTCTCGGGGACGTCCATGGCGTGCAACCACTGCTCCTTCTCGCCCACCCACAACCCGCAGGCGTCCGCTTCGCTGCGCATGGTGTAGAGGCTGAGGGCGTCCTGCAGGTCCTGCCGACGCCGTTCCGCTCGCGCCGCCAACTCTTGGTAACGTCTCTCCAACTCCGGCAACCGACCGGTCACGTCGGGAGCGTCGGCGAAAGCCGGCGGTAGAGCACCGGCTTGTTCGTGCAAAGCGTCGATGGTGGGACGGTGACTCCGTACCTCCTCTTGTACCTCCCGGTGCTGCCGGGCCAGGCTACGGGTGGAATATTCGTCGTGGCCCAACTCGGGGCTGGACGCCAACCTCATGGCGTCCTCCAACCAGACCTCCGTGTCCGCCGCCTCCGCCTGGAACTGGAAGAACCCGGCGGCTTCCCGCAGGCGTCGCTCGCGTTGAGCCGCCAGCTCGGCCAAGGCGCGCCAACGTCCTTCCATCTCCCGCACCCTTTGGGCTACTTCGCTTGCCCCCAACCCACCCTCGGCTACCAAATTCCGCCCTCGGGCTAGCGCTTGCTCCAGCGGCCCCGCGCGCCCGCTCAGCTCGCCGCGGAAGGCGTCGTGTTGGCTCAGAAGGCGCAGGGAACTGGTGAGATCCCGTCCCACGTCCTCGGAGGAGAGGAGACGTTCCTGCTCCCGCATCCAAGCTTCCTCCTCCCCCGTGTCCCAAAAGAATTTCCAGAGCCGCCGCGATTCCTCCAGCCGAGCTCGACGCTGTCCCGCCAGGTCCACCAGCTCCCGGTAACGTAGCTCCAACGTGGCCACGCGTTGGCGCACGGCGGCCGGCTCGCAGGGTTGGTAGCCTGCGAGGAAATCCCCACCACCACCCCCCAACCCCGGGATGGTCACTGAGGAGGTTTGGGGAAGTCCCTGAGGGGCCACCGGCCACCCGGGAGAGATTTGGGGACATCTCAGAGGGGTTTGGAGGTCCCGGGGGGGACGACGGACGGACCGTCCATCCCAGGGGAATTTGGGGAGGTCCCAAGGATTTGGGGGTCTGGGGGTGACCATACATCCCAGGGGGGGTTGGGGACATCTCAGGGGGGGTTGGGGACATCTCAGGGAGGTTTGGGGGTCCAGGGGGACTGCCAACC